TGCCCAAGCCACAGAACTACAGTCAAACTAATATACAGACACGATTACACACCTAAGGTAGAGATAGTGGGTATTAAGTAAAGAATAAGGGGTGGAAAGATGGCTTAGCAGTTAAGAACACTGGATGCTCTTCCAGAGGACTCAGGTTTGATTCCCAGCAACACATGACACCTGTCTGTAACTCCAGTACCTGGGATCTGATGCTCTCTTCTGCCCTCTATGGGCACCAGGCACACAGCAATAGTTATTCAGGCAAAATACCATTACATAAAAATAAATTTAAAGAGTAATTTCATGACTATAGGCACATTTTTCTCTCATGTTAAACATACATCTATGCATGCTGGTGCACTCAAGCGCGCGCGCGCACACACACACACACACACACACAAATGAATTCAAAGGGCTCTATGGAGAAGGGAAGGAAACCAATGGGAGAGGAGAAGGGAGATAAAGGGAGTATAACAAGGGAAGAATATGAAGATAAGAAAATAAAATAATGTGTATATACGAGGATACCATAGGAAGCCCATTATTTTACATGCTAATTAAAAAATTAATACAGGTGTTTGACAAATGGCTCATCAGTTAAGAGTGCTTGTTGCTTTTCCAGAAGACCTGAGTTTGATTCTCAGCATCAGCATAGGTGACTCACAAACCAACTGGATCCCTTGGCCTTTTTTGACTTTCAGAGTCACGAGGCACACATGTGGTGCATATACATGAAGACAAAATATGCACACACATAAAATATTTTATAAACATTAAAGACTGAAAAATTGCCTAGGGCCCAGATAGACATATATGCAAAAACACACACAGAAATGGGAAAATATATGGAAGTTGCCAACACCGCCACAAAGTATCCATTTATACAGGCTACGAAGTCTACAAAACATGAGAGAGAACATGTGATGATGGTGTACAGGAAAGGGAACCTTCATACGTTCTTGGTGGAAATGTCAATTGGTATAGCTATTAGAGAAAACAGTATAGAGGGTCATTCAAAAATTAAAATGTATGCTATCACATGACTCAGAAATCTCAATTGCAAGTATTGTGTGTGTGTGTGTGTGTATTTAAAACTCTCACCCATCCTCATCTACTCTCATTCCAATTCCATACTAATTTTCAAATCACCTTACAAGCAGAAAAGGCAGTAGCTATAATGTGAGTTCAAATGCATGGAATTAAAACAATCACCACCAAATACAGCTTAATTAACAAAGAAGTAGCTGTGTCTCACAATGAATTTCTGGTGAAAGAGCATCATTAAGGAATCACAGGATTCATCAAAAAGCAGCCCAATAGCAGCAAAAATTTTGTTCCTTGGGAAATCTTGTCAGTTGACACAAAAATGGCTCTACTGATAACAAAGCCATGACAGCATGGCTACATATGATAAATTCATGGAATTTTTTTATAACATATGAGAATGGAGAATAAGCAATACTCAATTTGTCAGAGTCTGAAGCATTATATAACAAGTAATAAAAATATAATCTAAATTATGAATTTAACATATCCATAATATTTATTTGTTAAAGCTGTCCCTTTATAAATATTTACTTAAACTTTTGTCATTGTGAAATTGGACAGTGGCCATCATGTACCTAGAATCTTCTTATATTTATTCACATTCATTACTTATAGATACCCATCCCTTCCAAATGTTGGCTTTAGTCCCTGATAGTCTTCTTTAGTTTCCTACAGCCTGACAACATGCTTGGTCCTGCTTGTGACCCTTTCTCCCTCTAGGCAACAAGAAACATGATATCTGTAGCATAACGAAATGCACATGATGCTTATCTACTTATAGTTTTAAGGCATTTGATTCAGCAAACAACCTGGTTTTCATGTCTAAGTTTCTTGTTCTTAAAAGGATGTTGTGTCAAAGGACTTTGCGAACACATCCCCCATGGAGGGATAACTGCCTTAATCTAGAGACAGGAGACAAGCCCTAGTCCCTACTTCACATGACCTGTCAGATCTACAGGACCCCAACTGGATGGCATTCCCCTACATATGGAATTGGGGTGGGGGGATGGGAGAGGAGGTGGTTAGAGTGCATGTGAGAGGGCAGAGAGGGAGGGAGAGCGAGAGAGGGAGGGAGGGGGGAGAGAGGGAGGGAGGGAGAGGGAACTGGGATCGACATGTAAAATAATAAATTAAATTAAAAAAAAAAAGCTTTGACTCCAAAATTTAAGTTCAAGGGCAAGTTACTGGGGGAAAGGATTTCTATTTTTGTTTCCACAGAAAATGAAAAGCTGTGGATTCCTTCCAGACTAATGTGGTTTGATCAAGCCAGACCGCCTGAAACAGAGTACCAGGTGATCCTACATTCAAAACAGCTGGACAAAGCAGCCTTACAGACTACAGCCAGGATTTCTGAATCTTCTTAGAATCCCCCATGACAGCGCCCCTTACCAGCAGGAAGTAGTTTGGAAAGAACAACGCCCAAATTCCCAAATATTGTCTATAAATGTTTGTTTTCATTTAAATGGACTTTGTTATATAAAATAAATTTTAAAAAATTAAAAAAAATTTAAAAAAAGGATGTTGTGTCTTAGCATGCACATATATGGTATTTAAAATACTATAATGCACAGTAGTGACCTTGGCAGAGACAGGTAAGAATTTGAATCTTCTCTAGTAGAAGGTGACTCTGACTAATACAAAAATAATGAGAATGTCATCAACTATAGAGGTAAATTTATCAATTACTGATTAATTTTGTAGAACAAGTTTTCATACTTAGAAAATTCTATCCTAGCAAAGCCTAAAGCACTGTTAGTGAAAATTAGTAAAGCCTTTAGGTTTATCATTTAATTGAATCAACAAACACATCACATGAAAGATACTAAAAAATATGGCTTCTGACAGCTGGGTTCAATGAGATGATAAGGCTTTAAGTTACTAATCCTGGAAGGATTCCAAACTGCATGAAAAATCAACTTCATAAACCTACATTTGGGAATCTGTTTGAGAGTTCTGTAACCTCAAGTTGAAAAGTCATCCTACATTTAAACTTTGTTACTCCTTTCTAAAGTTGTTCTAAAAACAACTACTCCTTTCTATAAACACTTTCTTTCTTTGGCTTTTTAGAACTGACACAGTCTGTAGGAAGGAGCTAAGAAAATACTATGCATGAATCCCACTTCTTGCAAAGTGGCACACTGGTATGGCACTAAAAGCTGTTGTTTTAGAGGCAATTAGGCAAGATTTCAGAAGAGAAGCAGTGCAAGAAGTTCCTTCCTTCTTTGCAAAGAGATTTTGTACTAAAGCAAGGATTAGCTGCTAAATACAGCTATACCATCTTTTGAACTATCCTTCAGCCCTTCGCCATTGGAAGGGATACAATGGAGTAAGATGATAAGAACAATGATCTTGGATTTCTGTTTAGTCATTTTGGAGGGAAAGCACAATGAAGAAGCATGCTCTATCACTCATTAAAGAAGAAACTCAGTATTTTTAGAAATCTGATTCATACACTAAGGAAGAAACAAGACAATCTCTTCTTTGTAAATGACTACTTCCACGAAAGATCTTTGCTTCATAATTCTACAACTCAACTGAACAGACCTGAAGAAAAATATGTAATAAATGTTTGGACTTTTATTTTGAAATTCATCAAATGTACTTCATTCCATATTTGATCCAGGAAATGTATGCAGGCAAATGTACATACAATGTTATAGTAAAACTATATTAACAAAATGACTGACCGTATTTGAGTTAATTTGGGGAAATGATACTATATTAAAGCTAACAGAGGACTGGTTTCTTTTAAAAAAATTATCAGGAGTAGGGCCTTAAGTTAAGAGCATTGTATTCTTGCAGAGGACCTGGGTTTGATTCTCAGCACCCACATGGTGGCTTAGAAACATTCATAACTCCAATTCCAGGGGATCCAAAGCCATCTTCTGACCTCTACAAACACCAGGATATTATGGTATACATACATACACGCAGGCAAAATATTCATACACATAAAATAAGGTAAGATAAATATTAACAATTATCAGAGATACACTTGTTTTAAAAACTCATGAAAGCTGGGTGGTCACTCATGACTGCAATCCCAGCATGCAGCATGCAGGATATGGTCACTCATGATTGCAATCCCAGTTTCCAGCTTGCAGGAAGCTGAAACAGGAGGATCATCAAAAACCAGACACCAGCATGAATACACAGTGAGCTCCAGACTAGACACCAGCGTGGGATACACAGTGACCTCTAGGCCAGCTGGGACTACTGACTTTCTCAAAAATGTCCTTATTGTTAAAAAGAGCAAAAAGTTCCTAAATTCACCACTAAACATTTTTAAAACTACTATTTATTTCTGCATTCCCCATAAACCAAGACAGACTCTACATCCATGTTTTATGTTTCTTTTATTGGTTAGTTCCTTTTCTCTTTCCTACTGTTGAACAAGGGCCATGAGGAGGAAGAATGCATCTATAAGGCAGTTCCCCTGGTTGAAGAATACTAAAAATAGTTCTATGACATGCCAGATGTGGCATAAGAGATCTGTGGTAGCAGAAGAAAAGAATAAGATCTTAGATCCTCAAAACATTGACTTTTCTTCAAATACATTGTAACCTGACTCATAATTCTTTTAGGTAAACTGCATTCTTGGATAGCTCAGCATCAGTAACTGTTGGACAAGAACTAAATATAGAATTGTGTATCTAAGATACATGAAAACTTATATTGTTAGCTTTTCTGAAAATATGTAATAAAGTTGGCTTATTCTACAGAGAAAATGACTATTATAGCATGAACAAGAAATGTATACTATCAGACTTTCACTTTAGGATAGAAGGTTCAGATGTTTTAGTACCTAGAAAATTTATTAAAAATAAAAATGCATGAGTCTTTAAAACCTTAGATCAAATCTTTGCATTCCCACTAACTTCCCTATGCTGCATTATGGCTAGTCTATGCTCATAAGGCTTGAGAACTGCTGCTCATTAATCCTCATATGTATTATTACTCACGTATAAACTTTAAGGACAAAATCCTTTTCTTCTTTTAATTCTGTAAGTGACTGCAGAACATCCAAAATGCTTAGAACTGCACATCCATAAGGTCGTCTGTAGTGTAGGTGAGCAGGACCCTTTTTGGAGTCATTCAGGAGCATCCGGCCTTGGGTATAGCAGAAAACAGTGGTTAGATGGAGAACTCCAAAGCTCTTCTCCAGCACCCTCTAACTGTCACCCAGTGACAACAGAGTTACAGGTACCTAAAAGATCCTCTAAGAAGAATAATGAGCTAAAGTGACTCATCTAAGAATATCTGTGTAGACCACCAAATTAGCCTCTGGCTAAAGCCCCTTTTCTGTCACATTTGGTCAATTAACCCCAACAGTACATTTATTAAACAATGAAAGTACGAATGGTGATGAATTTCTTTAAAAAAAAAAAAATCAACATGCTGATAAGATTTAAACTTCACGGCCATAATAATAACAATAATAAAAGTTCAGTATTTTTAGCTGTGCTTATAAACTGTATATTTACAGGTAAAGAGGACACCATGTTCTTCCTCTTACTAAATTCTAATGCCAAAGGTGCTGATGAACCACTGTGGGAGTGAGAGAAATCTTAGTTATGGATGGCTCCTTATTCCTCCAAGTCAGCTAGGCTGTGCCAGCAGTGATACAAGCACTTGCAAAAGCTGTGATCTTAACAAATGCTTTATGAAGTAAGTCAACATAGTTGTTTTATTGTCAAGGGATTAAACATATTTTTTGACAAAATTATATACCATATTCAAGAATTTAAACTATGAAGGAAAACCTGGTTAGTTATAGCCCCCAAATCTAAAATATGTATGGACAATCCAACTATGGAACAGTAGTGAAAAGTCACTTTCTTTCATCTCAGTTTGAGTAGAAATGAAAAGCTACTCATCTTTTGTAGTGGTGACATTAACTCTAATTTTGTGGGAAATGGCACAGATGCATAATTTTGGACAGAAACTACAGCAAAGGGCATGTACCACCTGTTCAATCGGCATTCTAATAACTTTATAAGAATTATAGAGAAAAAGAACATATACAGAATCAGGCAATGTGACAGGAAGAATATAAAAAATCAGACCACTTAAAATACAAAGTTTGAGTCCAAAAGCAAAGTAGGAACAGACGATTTGAAATGGGGAAACATGCATTCATTTGCATCAAATCCAGATACTGCAGCAGCTGAAATGAAAGGCAAAGCAGGCAAGCAAGCAAACAAGTTAGACTAATCCTGAGACCTGAAATAACAGGAAAGACAAGTTCAGAAGTATATTTTTCCTATGTTTGACTAGTGTTAATCAAAAGAACAACTAAAGTGGACAATACCTATTCGGATCACATGGGCAACTATGTATAAATCTCTCTTCATGTCTTTGCTGCTCAGATCCTAAGGAAAGAAAAAGAAATACAGGCAAATACTGCACAGAGAAGAAAAATTTCATTTCATTCAAATTTCATTTGAACTTCATAGTAGTTTGCTTCTAGAAGATATTACAGGTGGGAGAATGGAAATTATAGAACACAACATTTAATGCATACAATATTTATACAGAGGAGAGCCCCTATTATTGAAAACGACTACTTATGTCCTTGAACAATGAAAAATTGAGCTGGTCTTCAACTAGAAGTTTAACCCCCACTAACTATTCATGATGCTGGAAGGTACTTTGCGTACTACTGGAGGGAAAAAGTAATCACCAATATTAACCAGGTACAAATCCTATGACCTAAAACAGCAACCTGCCTGCAAGATATACTGGTACAATAGTGACATAAATGTTAGGAGTAATCAACTAGTTTCTGATTGGATTTAAGGCCCACTCTATGAGACAGATTTCACACTAGACACTGCTCAAATGGCCAGAAACCTGAGACTAGATAAATCATGGGCTCTAGGGGAAAACCTACCATTATTATCCTCCTAAAAGAACACAGCAATAAAATTATTACTAATGACACACTGCTACATCCATAGATCGGCGTCTTGCTCAACCCTCATCAGAGAAGCTTCCTCTAGTAGTAGATGGGAACTGACACAGCTTGCCAGTGTGTAAAGAATGAGATACTTTGGATGACTCAGTTCCAAATGGAATGTCTTCATCAAGTCCTTCCTTTCAAGGCTCAAGGATCTATACTAATGAAAAGGAAGAAAGAGCCGGACATGGTAGATGACTCCAGGAAAACATTGTCTTACAAACACAACAGAACTGATGTACAGATGAGCTTACAGAGATAGTGACAGCACCTATAAAAACCGCACAGGTTCAAACCATTCCAGAAGGGAAAGTGGACATGACATCCCACTTCTAACTAAGAAGTTGTTTGCAACTGAAACCTGTTTTCTCAATGGAGTATCACTGGGTATACAACCACACTCCAGGCAGGACCCATGCCCAGGAGTAGCAGGCCAACATAAAACAGACTCCATGTTTGTATATGGATGTGGGGGGGATTTTTGCTTCATTTTGTTTGTTTGTTTTGTCTTATTGGGTTGTGTGTGTGTGTGTGTGTGTGTGTGTGTGTGTGTGTGTATGTGTGTGTGTTAATTTTCTTTTTCTTGAGAGAGAAAGAACATGAGTTGGGTGAGTAGGAAGGTTGGAAGGACCTTGGGACTTTCTGGGGGAGAGGAAATATGATAGAAGTACATTGTACAAAATTTTTTATTAAAATAAAAACTGTTAAAATATTTACATAGTGAAAACTTGAATATCATGTTCCTTTGAAAATTTATTTTACTGATAGTATTTTTCTAGCTCTCATTTAGATCATCTAATAAATCAAGAATCTACAAAATTTTTACAATGAAAATCATATTGTCTTCATCCATGGTTATTTTGTCATGCAAAAACATTTTGTAATGAAAGTAAATGTTCAGTGCAATAAAACATAGCAACACATTAAAAGCTCATTAATGACTAATGTGCTAAAAATTTGTTCTGTACTATCTTTATATTCACCCCACTGTCCACAAATCATTATAACACACTGGCCATATTTCTTGTAGATGAGATTAATTATGTCTTTGTGAAACCTTGATAAAAGATTTGGGTCTAAATTCAGATATTTATTGTTATTATCTGTACTTAGTTATAAGGCTGAAAATATTTTATCTCTTGTTTTCATTTATTTGTGGAAGGGAGCAAATATGCCATGGCATGCATATGGAGGTCAGAGGGCAACTTGCACAAGTCCGTTTTCTCCACCATGTGTGAGCTAGAATCTAACTCAGGTCATCAGTCTTGGCAGCAAGTACATCTGTCTGAGCCATCTTATTGGACCTAAAAATAATTTTATTGGAAATTTTAAAGAGCGTCTTTTAAGTAAACAAATATAATCCCAAATCAGAAACCATCAATCTGAAAAGTTATAAAAATCTGTCAGCCTATTTATATTTAGAATCCATTGTAAAGTAACACATTTGCTATTTTTTTATTTAGAACATTACACCAGGAATAGTAAAACTTATCATATAATCTGTCTGCTATCTATCTATCTATCTATCTATCTATCTATCTATCAATCAATCAATCATCTATTCAGTTTCAGATTTTTCATCAAGCTATCCAATTGCAGGTTGCTTCCAGCCTTTACTGTGATTTAGTGATGCCTAATGGCATGCCCTTTGTCATTCATGAAACAGGTTTTCCTACTTTCACTTCTAGGAAAGAGCCCCCCCTCCCCCAGCTCCCTTTCCTGTCCATCTTACCTTGGTTTCACAGGTTTGTCTCTTAATACGGTAAGAAAAAAGAGTGGCTATGATTTTGGGTTAGCTTACAATGCAGAGTCACATTTCTTTATTTATACCCTTTTATTGGACTAGAATTACGGCGAAACAAGCAAGTAATCTACGCTAAAAATATAAAGAGTCTCTCACTCTTGGGATCCCGTGAGTAGCTCATCTTACTCTAGTCCCAGCTCTGTCCTTCTGACTAATTCTGAACAAACAGAACCCGGGAGACATTAAAAGGTAATACAGAATGGATAAGGAAAATGTGGTACAGTTACACAAAGGAGTATTACTCAGTGGGGGGGGGGGGGGGTGGATGGAATCTTGAAACTCACAGTCAAATGGATGGAACTAGAAAAAAAAAAACATCCTGAGTGAGGTAACCCAGTCACAAAAAGACAAGCATGGTATGTACTCACTCATACATGGATTTTAGACATGGAGCAAAGGATCACCAGCCTACAATTCATACCGCCAGAGAAGCTAGGAAACAAGGAGAACCCTAAGAGAGACATACAAGGTCCCCCACAGAAGGGGAAAGGGGCAAGATCTCCTGAGCATATTGAGGGGGGGGAGTGAGGGGGTGAGGGGCAGTGAGTGGAGAGGGAGTTAGGAGAATGAGAAGAGGAGGAGGGTAGAAGAGAACATGAGGGACCAGGAAGTTTGAGTCCGGGAGGAATGGAGGAGAGCAAGAAAAGATACCATAATAGAGGGAGCCATTATAGGTTTGAAGAGAAACTGGCACTAGGGAAATGTCCAGAGACCTACAAGGATGACCCCAACTAAGAATCAAAGCAATAGTGGAGAGGCTACCTTAAATGTCCTTTCCTGATAATGAGATTGATAACTACCTTATATGCCATCCTAGAGCCTTTATCTAGTAGCTGATAGAAACAGAAGCAGACACCCACAGCTAAACACTGAGCCAAACTGCTGGAATCCAGTTGCAGAGAGGGAAAAGTGATAAGAAAGGGGGTCAAGACCAGGCTGCAGAAACCCTCAGAGACAGCTGACCTGAACAAGGGGGAGCCCATGAACCCAAGACTGATGGCTGGGAAATCAGCATAGGACCAACCCAGACCCCATGAAAGTGGGTCTCAGTTAGAAGGCCTGGGCAGTCTAAGGGACCTCTGACAGTGGAACCAGGATGTATCCCTAGTACATGAAAGGACTTTGGGAGCACATTCCCCATGGAGAGATGCTCCCTTAGCCTAAAGACAGGAGGGAGGGCCTAGTCCCTACTCCAAATGACTTGACAGATTTTGATGATCCCTCTTGGAAGGTCTCATCCTCCCTGTGGGTGGGGAATGGGATGGTAGGTAGTTCAGGGAGTGGCATGTGAGGATGGGAGGGAGAGGGAACTGGAATCGATACGTAAAATAAGAAAAAAAAATCTAATTAAAAAAGTAATACAGAAAGGCAAAATTGTAGTTTTAGATTCTAAAACTACATATCATACCAGTTATGATATACTGCTAAGTTCTTTAAAAAATTGTAACAATGAAATAAGTTAAAAAATGTATTGGACATAATTGGTATATCTGGCATCACAAAGATAAATGTTACATGAAAGTTATATTTTAATTATGAGTGGATGTATTGGACTCCATTTTTCATATTTCTCTAATTTAAAATGGAATTTTAGGGGCTGGCAAGATGGCTCAATAGTTAAGAGAATTTGCTGTTCTTGCAGAGAACAAAGTTCAGTTCCCAGCACCTACATGGTGGCTTACAAACATATGGAACTCCAGTTTTAGAATACCCTCTTCTGATCTTCATAGGTTCCAGGCTTGCATATGGTTCATATATGTATGTGTGAAAAACACTCACACACATGAAATAAATCTAAAAAAATGTTTAATAATAAAATGGAATTTTAAATGATTTTTTTTCCTAGGTAACACTGTAATAAGATATACAACAGCCAGGTGGTGGTGGAGGAGCACACCTTGAATCCCAGTACTCATGAGGCAGAAGGAGATAATGCAGATCTCTGTGAGTCCAAGGCCAGCCTGGTCTGTACAGAGTGAGTTCCAGGACAGCCAGAGCTGTTACACATAGCCTATATTAGTGTTAACACACACTTCAAATGTCTAGCATCATTATCCATCGTGCTCCAGTGGGCAGCCACATATCCAAATGTGTGTGTGTGTGTGTGTGTGTGTATACATATATATATATACACACACACATATATATATTTCATAGAGAGAAAGAAAGAGAGAGAGAGAGAGAGAGAGAGAGAGAGAGAGAGAGAGAGAGCAAGCACAAATTGGACTCAATTATTTTTTAATGAGGACACAAAGTTGGGAGAGGATGGAATGGGCATGAATATGGAGGAGTTCAGGTAAGGGGATGAATATGATAAAAACAACATGCAGAGAATTATTAAGGAATTAATAAAATATTATTTAAAACTTTATAAATACTCCTCCAATAATGCTGGGGAACTTTAAAAAATTCACGGCTGTACCACAAAGGGAACATACAATAATATATTTAACAGTCTTCCCACCATGGCAGAAGAGGAGTGCATCATGAATATTATGAACATTTCTTATTTATACAGGTGATGCTACAGCTTTGGACTCCAGGTTCATATAGATAATTAAAGTCTAAATAAAAATTTTAACTTACTGTAATTACATTCTAATATCTCCAAAATTAAGTACATTTTTCAAGAGACAAGGAACATTTATATCTAATAATTTAACAAAGCCTACTTATACACTTAGCTCTTGCAAATCTAAACAACAGTCATCAACTATTTCTCGTTTACCAGAAAATATGAGGGAATCAAGATCTAGAAAAGCATCTTTCTATTTTAGAAACGAAGTCTCAAAGAGAGCTCCAGTCAGGCACTCTCACTTCAAAAGTTCTCAGTAACATAAATCCCATTTCCTATAATCTAGATTCTTTCTTCTGTTTGATGCTGAATAGAGTGTATTGTTCTTTCCAGATAGGCCATTTTAGTTTCATTCCCTCAATAATTGTCATGGGTTTGCTTTTTCTGTTCTTTTGTCTTACATTGTCTCCCGAGGTTTCAATGATGAGCTCACACATGGACAAAACATTATTTACTGGAGCTTAGCTAGATTTGAAAATCTTCCTGTACAGCTGGAACCTTTTTTTCTTTATGGAAAATATTTTCAGTGAAATCTATTCCTGTGAAAGCAGTTTCTTGTTCTGTAGTACCATTGTTTGACATTTTGAAAGATTACATTGTAGTAAATGATCTGAAATCAGGTGAAGAAATATAATTTTAGCTCTCTAAAAAGTCACATATTAGATCTTCAGATAAACACCATTTTCCCTTAAGAGGCATCAAGTCAGCTTTATAGTATCTCTCCATCTACCAGTCATAGGCCACATGCAAGGCCAAGAACACTGTGAAACTAGCACACCTTCCTAAGCTCATAAGGATTTTGGGTTTTTTTTTTTTTTTGGTTAGCATCCTGTTAATCCTCCAGCTTTTGCTTTCTAATTAACTAGTTGTAACAGACATAAGAAAACTATGCCTAGCCAATGAATTTGATATATCTTAATTATCACTGAAATAGGTCACAGAATTTATAAAGGTCAAAGAATTTATAAGGATCTAAGTGCTTTAAATTGTGACATACTTTTGTTTTCTTCAATAAATTAACTCAAATAAATGTGGATAGTTTTCTTTCTTAGTAAAAACAAAGTTGATTTGGAGAACACAGAGACAGTGTGTTATTATGAGATTTAGTATTCAATAAGCAGATTTGCCAAACCTACTGAGATGATGACTTCATGAGTGGAGACCATGAACAATAACATAATTATTCAGAAAAATGTAGACTATAGATGAGAACAGAAAAAAATCCCTTCATTTGGTATTTAACAGAGGACTGGTTAGTTTACATGAACTTATTAAAAGGCTCCTAAACTGTAGCTCTGGTAGATGCCTTGGACTTCAGAGATTTTGTATAAAATGGCTTATAAGATCTATATTAGTAACATACTTGATTTTTTAAAAATAAAATTCCAATTAAAAATCATTACTAATTGAAGGGCTCCAAAGATATTTCACTACAACTTCATGGAAACATAAATCAATCCCTATTCTCAACAATGGAGGTGAGGATATGAACAGATGTTTGTTCTAACACAAGCCCTTGGTTAGAGCTAACACATAAAGGGGAAAGAGAATTTGCACATACTGTAAAAAGGGCACACATTCGTTCTATCTTCTCTGGGTTCCTTGGCCCACCATTCTTGTTCAGTCTCACCAGAAACCGTTCACTGAAATGTAGGAAAGAGAGAGAGACAGGAAAATGTAATGAACTACATATTCTAGAACAAATTAAAAAGGCATATACAGGAAAATCCCTAAATGCTATGAAACAGCTTATTGTGATAGACAAGGATAAAACCATGTGCATTGGCAAACTTTGTTGTGTCCAGCAATTTGCAATGGATATTCTAAACCTCCTCATATATGTTGATGTTATTTATTGGTTGTGGTTGTGTGTCTAGTCTCTCTCAAGTTGTGAGCTCCTTGAGAGTAGCAATGAGTTTATACTCTTCCCTAAGTTCTCCTCAAATAAGCCTGAGACTGATTCAACAGCTATTATAACAGATACAATCTTCGATGTGAACATAGTAAAAATATGTAACTTACTAGAGCTAAGAGAAGCTATATTATCCAGTTATCTAGAGAATTACTTTAGGACTTTAACTATTATATATTGATTTTTAAACTTTACCTATGTTTTCATAAGTATTTTTCTTTTTGCTGCAATGAGAATTTAAGGGACACTAAATATTTTATTTTCAATCCACACAGACTATTCCTGTGAGAAATTATGGAATAAAATACATCAGAAACAGTATTTGCAACATTTGGAAAAACATTTCCTTGCTCTCTAATCTCCTTCCTATCCTTTTCCCCCCAGAGGCTCCCTTCTAACTATAATAGCCACATTAAGCCATGGTGAAAAACAAAACAAAACAAACAAAAAAAAACCTATGTGATGATGAAGTAAATGTACTTTGTTTATGTGCTCAGTTATACTCATTAAATGTATGATATTTAGCAAAAGGATGGTATGAAAATATTACACTTAGAATAATAAGAAATTTCCTACAAAATTTGAATAGTTCTTCATATATTTATTTGTTCACATAATAAATTGCTATAAATTTCTGTGACATTCTATGTACTAAACATGGGAATGCAAATGTGAACAAGATACATACAAGATACTTTTCTTTCACCAAAGTTTTAGTCCTGGTAGATAGTGAGATATGCATAGCCACATCTCAAAAGATTTAGATCAGATATAAAGTTGAGATTCTTTATCTGAAGGAGTAAATAAGAATAAGAAAGGGATACATATAGAATGAGAAGAAGCTCTTATCAGAATCCTAAAGGTACTTAGAGTTAAGAAATAGGCAAATAAACAAAACCTAACAACATAGACACACAGGGACAAATACCAACACAGAAGAAAAATTAGGACAATGAGATGCTGTTTAAGTCAAGACCATAGAGAATCACCTTAGCTAAGGACAAATGTTAGGACAGTGATGATTCTGGGAGACCTGCCTTAGTGAAACAATAGAGAAAAGCATGGCCGTGAAACAGACGTGGTGTACTTTTAGTTAAAGTCACATGCAGTTAAGATCATTGTTAAATGAGAAAATAACCCACATGGATAGAGTCAAATACTTTCAATAAAGTTATCAAGGTAACTCAAAGAGATAAGTGGTGGGAGATGTCATTCTGTAAATATGTTTCTTTTATTGGTTAAAGAATAAAGCACTGTTGGCCAATAGGAAAGCAAGATAGGTGGGACTAGGAGACAAGGAGGATTCCAGGATGTAGTAAGGAGGATTCAGCAGGTAGAGACCTGAGAGGGAAGAACGCCGGCCCCTCTCTCCGGTAAGATAAGGCCATGTGGATGTACTTAGAGTATTAGAAATGGGTTAGTAATTAAGACAGAGCTAGCCAATAAGAAACTAGTAACTGGCCAACAGAATGATTTCTAATACAGCATCTCTGTGTGTTATTTAGTGCTGGCGTGGCAGTGGGTCTAGACTGGTAGGAAAATCCTACTCATAACATAATGGTGTCTGCAACATGGCTAATAAGAACTTCACTTAAAACTTAACAAAAGCTTTAAAAAGGGTTTTAGAAACAAAAGAACAGAGATAAGCAAGGCTTCTTGGTAGCAGCATTTTTCTTGGTTGGACTCTGTTTTGCTAGAGACAAGCAGAAATTTCTGTGGTTCCTTTAAGGGAGGTTACCTGACTCGGCATAAGCGGCAAAAAAAAAAGGCAAGGCTTTTAAAGAGCTGCTGACAACTGAATGGTGTGTACGAGAGCTGGCAATGGCAGTGACCACACCTTCAAGCTAGCAGCATGCTGCTGGATGGCAGCGCAGACCAAGGCAGGGAGCACAGCTCTCAGTTCTGGCGGTAAAAGTACCCGCTGCCATCTTGGATAGACCGCAGCTAATACAGCTGTGACTTTCATTTTAGCAATGTTGTTGTTTAGCAGATAAAAGACTCGTGGCCAGAAAAAGATAAAGATTTACAGTAAAAACAGATTCACATTAAGAAAAACCACTAAAGGTTAACAGTGCGTTGTAGACTTGGGAGAGAAAATGAATAAAATGGTTTTAAAAAAACAGAGTAGCTGAGTGTGGTGGCACACGCCTTTAATCCCAGCACTCGGGAGACAGAGGCAAGCAGATCTCTGTGATTGCAAAGTAAACCTGGTATACAGAGTTAATTCCAGGACAGATAAAAATTACACAGAGAAAACCTATGTCAGAAAATGAAAAAATAAAAATAAAAGAAATAGAGTAATAAAAAAAAAAGCCACTTAAAGATGGGAAGCACAAAAAGAGTATGGATGCTATATGCTGTTCTGTTATCTTTAAATTATTTGACTGCTGAGGAAATAGCAACACCTGCTGCTGGATTAATTAAATTTATATATTTTAAAAATGCTTTGACTCCAAAATTTAAGTCCAAGGACAAATTACTGGGGAAAAGGATTTCTACTTTTGTTTCCACAGAAAATGAAAAGCTATGGATTCCTTCCAGACTAACATGGTTTGATCAAACCAGACCCCCTGAAACAGCGTCCCAGGTGATCCAACATTGAAAACAGCTTGAACAAGGCAGCCTTGCAGACTACAGCCAGGATTTCTGCATCTTCTTAGGATCCCTATGACAGCGCCCCCTAACAGCAGTATGGAAAGAACGATGCCCAAATTCCCAAATATTTACTATAAATGTTTGTTTTCCTTTAAATAGACTTGATTATAAATGGTTAATGATCACAACCAATTCTTTTTAAAGGTAAAAAGGGGATTATGGTATAGATAGGAATACTTTGCTCTGAAATGGATTTTCATTTATTGATACAATTTAAGGTCAATTTTGTGATAAGTATATTTCTCCTCTTATTTAGGTATTGTGTTTATATAACTCAGTAAAAAGGTAATGTATAAATTAGTACAGATTATATATAGTTACCTATGATAGTCAAAACTTAGAGTTAAGTTATGTTTTCTAGATATATATAGAGATGTATTTGAGATGAATAGGCATTCTTCAAACCTTTCAAAGACCTACGAATATGGCATTTAAAACGGTTTAGGGTTTTTCTTGGCAATGAGGCACAACTGCTCCTGGCAACACCGCCTGCGTCAGAAAGGAAGATGGACATCGAAGAAACTCATTATGGAGTTTGCTTCCAATATGGCAAGACTAGCAATTTGGGCAAGATACTGCTCTTGTCTGGACTGTTTGACTTTATGCTGTATAAACTGGACATGCACGACCCACAGGAAAATGACTGCTGGTACAAGATGGACATTGTTACAGGATTCCTGCTTCATGGAAGAGTCTGCTAGGCATTCTGCAGGACACAGAGAAAAGTGACTGACAAACTGCCAATACAAGAAGACAGTTTAAAGTTTCCTGCTTTTTTAAGGAGTCTGTCAGACACACTATGGCCTACTGGCTGAAGATGGAACATTACAGAACAACTTCGGGTGACTGACCAGGCAAGATGTCTCTGTCATTTCTAGAGTTTATATATTATCCTTCTTTGGTCTTTGATGGAGTTGAAGACAGATAGTTATCATTATAGTTTTCCTTAGTTAAGATTAAAGATAAGTTGCATATAGGACTTTAGACTCACAAAGATAGGATTTTAAAATGTTTTCTTTAAATCTTGCTAAATGTTAATGAACTAAATATTGTTAATTGTGATTCCTGTTTGATAACTGTTGTATAATATATTTTGCTATGCTAAGGTTAAAACTCTTCTTTTTATTTAGACAGAAAAGAGGAAATGATGGGAGATGTCATTCTATAAATATGTTTCTCGTATTGGTTAATGAATAAAGCACTGTTGGCCAATAGGAAGGCAAGATAGGTGGTACTAGGAGACTAGGAGGAGAGAGGAAGGAGTAGGGAGGAAATTCATCATGGAGGACTGAGAAGAACACAAGCCCCTCTCTCCGGTAAGATAAGACCATGTGGAAGTACTTATAATAATAGAAATGGGCTAATATTTAAGACAGATCTAGCCGATAAGAAATTAGTAACTGGCCAACAGAATTATATCTAATACAGCGTCTCTGTGTGTTAATTGGGGCTGGCTCGGCAGTGGGACCAGACTGGCCAGGGAAAAACTACTCATAACAGATAAGCATGGGGCTGGACAGATATCTCAAGGGTGAAGGGCACTTGCTGCTCTTCCAGAGGAGCTGAAGTTGGTTCCCAGCTCTCATGCTCTCAGCTCACAATTGCTTACAACTCTAGTTGTAGAGGACTTAACACCTTCTCCCTTTGCCAAGGACACACATGGCATACAGACATATATACAAATAAATAAACTTTTAGAAGATAGTAGTTTACCAATACTGAAGAATCCATGTTAAAAATGAACCTTGATCCTTATCTACAACAATTAATTTGAATGGATCACATACTTAAACAGGCCAAATTATAAAACAGTAAGAAAATAAAGGCAAACTGTAAGAAAAAAATAAGAGCCTTGCATCACTCTCCCTGTGGACTGTGTGTGTGAAGAATGGAATGGCAGGAGCACGGAAGGGAGGGAGAAGAAACTGGAATCGGTATTTAAAATAAAATTATATATATATATATATATATATATATATATATATATATATATGAGCCTTGTATCTTGTTGATATTTGTGTTTTCATAGTTAACATATAATGGAATGGAAACACTTTGTAGCCTGGGATTATTAAG